AAGCACAACACCAAGACGGACTGCTGGGTGGTGGTCGACGGTCAGGTGCTGGACGTCACCAGCTTCTTGTCGGAGCACCCTGGTGGCGAGCTGGCCATCCTCACCTTCGCCGGGAAGGACGCCACAGAGGAGTTCAACATGCCCCTCGGCTGACACGGAGCGGGAGCTGGAAGTTAGCATGAAAGCTCCTTGCCTCCTGCGTTGGCAGTTTCCATCGCAGAAGCCAGAAGTACTCAGAGTACTCATAGATCTAGACTGACATGAACTGATGTCTCCTACTTTCGTTAGGATCCATCCCCCGGATGTCATCGGCAAGTACGCCCCCGACTCCGTGATCGGCGCCGTCGGCTCCGGCGTGGCGGCTGCCGCCAGCGCCGCCCCCAAGGCGGGCGGCGGCGGGCCCATCAGGACTGCAACGGGAAGGGGGGAGGGGGGGAGGTGGAGAGAGAGCAAAGAGCGATGGACAGAGAGGCAGGGAGTGAGGCGCGGGAGGAGTGCTTGGCAGGAAGGACACAGGCAGCAAGCTCGGCAACCATGCCGCCTGGGGTCACCTGGACGGGGCACCGAACTGGCGCGTGGATCTCGACGAGAACCCAGGCCGAAGGGACGGTCAGTAGAGAAGCGACTTTGTACTCTGTGTGGGTCTTTGGGTACTTTCCTTTGCAAAGTCTGTGTACGGTATACTTGGCCGAGTACGCGAAATAAATAGACAATCCTTGTTCAGCAAGGTGCCAGCTTAAGCATTCAGCGCAGATCGGGTTTTGTTTACAGGCATCTGTTCTTCCCCTGAATCTGAGACCCTAAAGCCTAGCTTAGAACTTAATCTTCAGCCTGCTTCCGTGTATACTGCTTGGCATAAAATCATGCCCACATCTGGTCCAGAAGCAATGCTACTGTTGTGGCGCGAGGTTTGATTGAGGGAAGTTTCGAGGGTTTAGTTCAGGGCTTGGTGCGGTGTCCTGCCCTCATCATCCGACGCCATCGCAAACCAGCCTTGAAGCCAGAAGTACCACATTCCCCCAGGGCGTCAACCGAAGCCTCAAAGGTGTCCTCCTTATCAATGTGAAGTCGTACTTCAATGCAACCTGGTTCCTGCTGCTCTCAGTGCTGTATGTGCCACAGCAGCAAACGTGTCGGGCTTCGGCTCCCATGGACCTATGTGTCAGGGCCTAGGGTTCAGGGAAGCATGGTGTTCTGGAACTATTCAAGCACTCAAGAGGCGGAAGGACAAGCAGGATGTCGACGGCGAGCGACAAGCTGCCTACTTTCGGCACTCATGCACATATTCGCTCACACAATCCAGCCGTACAAACGGGCGAAATGCAGTAAACCTTCACTCAACACTTGTCAACACCTACATTGCAATCCCCAAGCCTGTACATAGCGTCCGCCCGCAAGTCAGGAAGCCTTCGAAGCTGTTACTAAAACTTGTTGAATCCAGTTGCATCACATTTCCTGCAGAGGCTAGCTATTCTACTTAAACCTAATTTACGGGCTGCCGCCAGTGCCGCCGACCCCGAAAGCTGAGAGGTCACTATCCAAGGAAGGCAGCAGGCGTTGAAAACAAAATTCCAAGTAAGTGCAGGTTCACAGTGATGCCGGATCACACCCGATTTCAGCCATAGTGCCCAAGC